TTATGCACCATACAGCGGAAAGAATTTTAGAAGTTTAAACTCAGAAATTAAACGATACCTCAATGACAATGATCTTGAATACTTCGACTTAGTGCTTCTATTTTTCCGTAACGATCAAAACCAAATATTTGGTATAATTTAACATCACAGAGTATAAGATATTGTAGACCAATACTGTTAGAGTTTGTTAAAGAATCTAAACAATTAGTTCTCGACACAAAGCCAAGTATAGAAAAGGAAATAAGTTTTATAAAAATTGATTTACTCTATGATAAGCATGTTTTGATTGATTTTGATTTCGTGATGAGTATGATAGATGGAAAAGTTCTCAATTACATTACAGATACAGCATCCAGAACCGTCCAATCTGTAAAGCTACTCCAAATATTATGACCAGTATAGCGGTATACATGACTATAAACTATTATTTCGTAATAAGCTAATCGCATTTTTTTTTTCCAGGATCTTGAAAAAGAAAATGCACTATACTATGGAATTTTTTCTTTGCATGCGTGGAAGGGAAAAACAACATTCAGAATAGACTTATGAAGCGTTTGGTGTCAGGGTGGATCAACTAAGAGCGGGTGAAGCAGGAACCAGCACAACTGGAAACGTTTGCCGACGAGCATTCTCAAATCCTCAATTGCTGAGTAGCGTTTTGGATATCAACGTGGAACTCATAGAAAGATTCAAAACATTTTGATTGCAGTAAACTGCCAAGAACCGATCAACCCCGAAACACTAGACACATATTGTAAAGAAACTTATCGTCTATATCTACAATTATATAGTTGGTATAAAATTACAGCTACAGTGCATAAAGTACTCGCTCATGCAGGAGATATAGTGATCCATTCTCCAGCACCACTTGGAATACTAGCCGAAAACGCAGCCGCATGCTGGCACAAACACTTGAAAAAAAAATAAAGGGATTTCTCCTATACACGACCTCAGTATGACGTACAACCACGCAAAATTGATGTATGTCATGCATTTTTGACTATTATACTTTATCTTAAATTGTTCAAGTATTTCAATGTTTTGGTTTTCCGTGCTGAGCACCAATGCTACCGACACCAGGGAGGCAGTTCCCTCACCTGGACCTTACCTATCGACCCATCAACTCATGAGCCGGTTTGGCACATACAACTTTTCCGCGTTTCGGTTTAGTGAAACGGGACCCAAGGTTCATTCCTAATTGTGAAAGGTGATCACGCCGTCCAAGACGGTTTTATGACAGGTGGGCAGGAACTCACGGTCTCCCAGTGTTGGTGAGTTCTTTGCCGTTAATGTTCACGAAAAGTTCACCATTTTGCTATACAGAAATTCAAAACAAAAATTTTTATCTGCGGATTTTGAACAGTTTTTGACCTATTTCATACTACCGGAAGGTGTATGCTGGTCACAAATGCCGTGCCAAACTGATTTCCTACTCAATTAATCAATCTTTGATGTGAAATTCGCTAATAAACACGAGGCGCATTTCTTATAGCAAACATGCCATAACAAAATGGGCATGGTTCATTTTAGTAAACAAACTAACACTTCTTCCGACTGTGGCACCTATGTATTAGGCGCCGAGCACGCCGTCCACCTTTAGCCGCTGACTTGGTCCTGCTTGTTACAGAACCAAGTACCACGCCGTCCGAAGCGATAATGAGCAAAAGCACGACAGCAGCGCTGTTTTATATCTTCTTCAGGTTCAAGCAGAACGATGTGCACTGATAGGATTTCCCGCCGTTTTTATGAATAGGGTGGGGCAGAAAGTGTCTTTTGTGCAGAATATGTAAAAAAGGCTGGACTTCGGATGTTGATCTAATTGCATATAAAGAGGTACTAGATATGTTTTACAGTCAGCTGTTGGTAATTCACGAACAGAATAGAATGTATGCCCGTTTTAAGCAATTTTTTTTTCAAATTCGAAAGTTTTGGCTCTATGGTAAGCGGGTAAAAAATTAACGGAATTTAACTTTTGCTTTTACTTATAAATTAATTGTAGTTTGCTTATAATTTATTTCCCGGAATACAGTGATAAGTCCATGCTTTTTTGCGGGTTATCGTTTAAGGCGGGGGGGAGGGGGTGTTTTGCATGTATAACTTTTCCAAGTTCCTCATTTCCTCATTGTGGTAGGTGGTCACATCATGATCCATATTAATCCGCTGACTTGCTCCTGCTTGCTGCAAGACCAAGTGCCGCGCCGTCCGAAGCGATAAAAGCAGAGGAATGACAGCAGCGCTGTTTTATATCTTTTCAGATTCAAGCAGAACGATGTACAACCAAATGGTACTCGATTATGAAGACTGGGTTAGGGAAAATCGTTTATTTTATGAAAACACAGATAAAATTATTATTTGTACATTTTTTAAATGTTTTTTTTTTTGTGGAAAATTGAAAAAATATTTATTACAGCAGATTTGTAATGTAATATCCTATCGATTGGCTTATTTGGATTTTATTTTCATCTATAAATGACAAAGTTACAAGCGTTCAAAACCTAACACTATTTCACCACACATATCTTTTGATTTGCACCCCAGTATAGTCGACAAAGACGTAGTTCTACGTCAAAAGTCGAACCCATTATGCTAGGAAAAGATCAAGAGTGGAAAATTTACATGATGTTTCATAAGAGCCTCTAATGCCTCTGATCCTTTCATAAGTTCGCTTTATTTTAGTAATCGATTACATAAAAAATCAATTCATGAATATCCCGCAGTTATACAGACACTTCTTGTATTTAAGAATAATAAAATTTTAGCAGAAACAACTTCAGAGCGAACAGCATTAGAAAATTTATTGACTGATGTTGATGAAATTGACGATGACTTCGTTGAAGATGCAAATGTAAAAAATGCGCGAATAAATATAACAGCTTACAATAAATTAAAACTTTATTTTTTCGCACAGTTACCCTTTACTAAGAAAAAAAAAGCTTTGCAAAATAGATGAATGCTTCTGTAAAATTTAAGAACACTATCAAAGATTCGATTGTGATTGATTAACATTAAAACAATGACTTTAATCAATTAAAAAATATTGGGGATCTTTTTAAAAGATAGTCAAGATGTTTACCCCTATTCAACGTATCGCATCGTCAATAAAGTCACTTTGTGAGGTGACTCTCCATGCAAATCAAATATAGAATATTCTCACAATCTTGACTTGTGAAGTTCCATCATATTTTTGCTCCAGAATAGTGAAGAGGGCACCGAATACAATTCTGTGATTTACATATAACTTCTCCGAAAAAAAATCTAGACCCTGGACACACGTCAACCCACCTTAATCCCACACCTTAGCTGCCAAGTGGGTTATAGGGGAAATGGCTCTAATGTTGGCCTATGGATCTAATATTGGGCCCATCGCTAAAAATCTGCTATTTATCAATTTTATCAAGATGAACGCGTCATTGGAACGGTACTAATGGATATTTTTGGTAGCTATTGAAAATTAAGTCGATTGCTGAATTTATGTATGGGCCCAAATTAGGAGCATTCAGGCCAACATTACATCCATTTCCCCTACGCTTCATTTTGTAAAAAGTATTTTTTTTATTTCCAGTTTCATTTATAACCCCAAAATATTACCCTGTGCAAAAAATGGCAACGATTGATGAAGGTTTAGGGGTCATGTAAATGGTTTGAAATTTGTATGCAGTGACCTAAGCAGCACATGTCCATCATAATAAGTTGCTGCAACTTGATTGTGACTCAAACAAAAAGTGTGTGGCTAGGAGAATTACAAAGGGAGATTTTTGAACTTCACTCATGTCCTCTATCTTTGGCTACACTGGCTATAAAAACCTTTTTTTTCAAAATAAAACACCCTAATGGACAGCTCTTAAAAATAATCGACTTTTGTACCTAGGTGTGCATGAGTGTGTCCTTAATTTTCGACCTTTCTGCCTTAATTATATTACTTATCATCAATCACATAATCCCATGGCTCATGAAATGTTCGTGGATGATTTTTTCTTCTAACTAATGTGTTCGACCATAAGAACCAAAAGAAATTCCGCCAAAACTTTATGCTTATCGGAAAGTTGGTTGCAAAGGTTTATATGATTATTTGATCAATCGTTTAATCATAGTGTACTCTCGGGTTGTAACCAAACGAACTCGTATAAGAATATCTGAACAAAAATTAAAGGTTAAATTCTAGCTTTACTAACTATGGATTCCATAGATCTGAACAAATAAAATAAAATAAAATTGGGATATGACCAAAATAAGAGTTATTACCGATAGCAAGTGAGCAAATATGTATTTTTATTAAAGTAACTTCAACATTTAAAGGTCATGTTTTGATTTTATTCGTTGCCTTTCACGTAAGATACAAGACATTTCTTACGTCAGGTAGATTTTCTTTTTATCTTCTTACATATGCGACTATTTTCCAGTAATCAATAATGAAATCCCATTACTTGAAACATTAACTTTTCTATTTAAACGTTTAAAAGAGTTTTAGTATTTATTATCAACACAAATTTGTGAAAAATTTGTTCTGTAAAATCTCGTTAAAACTGAGATGTTTTTGCTTAAAATTTTTTCATATTAGATAATGTTATACAACAAGAAGGCTACATCGTCACCCCTGAAAGCATCAGGTATTTCACCAAGTCTTTACCATAATTAGCAACATATAAGGCAGTCAATGTTGCTATTTCACTGTTCACTGCTTCGACAGTTGTAGCTATTCAATTATATTCATAATTCATATTGCAAATCCCTAGAGCCAAACATTCGTCGTTTGAAACATATGTCTGTTTGGTATAATACATTTAAGGCCATGAATTCTCTATCCGGTTAATACACCATACATTTATATGATTTCTTTAGACCAGAAGGTCAACAAGAGCAATTCACCAACACAATACTGAAAAAGCTTTGTTCCTTTTGTAAGCGACCAGTAGTGAAAATGGTTGGTTACGTAATCTGCAAAGAAATCGCACAGTTTCACATACACAGGGCATTTTTATTGCTCATCTCGATACACTTACTTTTTAACATAATTCCAATGATACTGCTGTACTGAACTTGATTTTTTCATACTACTTCCAAACTTTATGAAAATATTTTAATGTCACTTATAACCGTCTATTGAGTAATTCACTAATATATTTTTTTCTGGTGCTATTGGCATTCGCGTAACGAAAACAATGCGTTGTCAATTTTGTGATTATGTAACAACACTTTCAACATTCACTTGACCAGATTCCTGTATCACCGTTTCACACATTCTTTGGATCCCAAATGCATGAAATGTATTATTATTTCTTTCTATTCTTTCTTCTCAATTTGATATTTGTAGCTATCGCCTTCCATGGATTCCCAGATAATTTTATGCAGTATTCTTTTCTTTCACTGTAACACACAATTCAAACTAATCGATTTCGGGATAGAAACAGTTCTTTTCGTCTTATGATATAAACTACTGAATCTAACGACAAAATGTCTACTTTTTGATTTCTAATTTGTTCACCAGAACACTAACATTGGAAAATGTCGTATATTAACCGATTTTTAAAATTACATAAACTCTGAAGACTATTATTTCCACATTGAAAAGTACTACACTAATACTAAACAAAACAAATTGTGAAAAGCTTGTCGATTAGTGCACTTTAATCGTAAGATTTTCCCAGGTCAGCTTTCAGTTCCCTATTCTCACGGAATGACACAAGGTTATAATCAATATCCTTGGCATGTGACGTTTGGTTATTTAATTATAAAAAAAAAATCTAAAAAGTCAAAAGTGAAGTGTTCTGTTAGAACCGTGAAGTGCACTACATTCACTGAGATACACGTTCAGTGTGATATTGGCGCTCACCAACTGTATGCTCTGATGAATTATACATTCTGCCTATGGTAATGTTAAACACAAACATTAGTTATCTAACTGCTGATGTTTGTTTCACGATCATTGGTCTAAAATCTTATATTGTTTATATCTTTCCAAATTAACACTTGAGTTATAAACAAACAATCAAAGAAAATACAACACTATTTGTTTTACCATCCGTATGTATGATCTTTTTTTCAGATTATAAGGGTATGCCAGTAGTTTGTAAAATAAAGATTTAGCTGGCTCGTTAGACTTTCAAGCCAATTCAATAAAAAATAAATTCATTATATTAATGTATTTGAAACTTGTAAAAATCATTTTAATGAAAGTTAGAGCATCAATGCGATGTTGCTCAATGACAAAATATTATAAATAATAAGGAATAGATATATGGAAGAATAATGTATTGTGGTTTCGCGCTCTATTCCGTAAGGATAATACATTCATATCCCTGGAACAGGATTCACTCGGAGTGCGCATGCCTTTGTCAGGATCGTTTCATTGTGAGTTTGTATGCCCAGGATCCCAAATGATACCTACTTTGGCAATTTATTTGCTTTTAAACAAATAGATAGACAAAGTGAACCTGCTGACTACTGGTCTAATAAAAGTATCCGTGCTAAAATATTATCTGATGAATTAGAACAACGGAGAGTTTGTAATCACGGATGCTGAATAGGGAATATGATGAAGTCATTGCTTATATAATGTGTTAGAAATGAGGAAGTTTTTAGTAACAAACTGTTACAAAGTATTTAGAGATGACCGATATTTTTAAATGTCTGAAAAGAAGTGAGGAGCAGGTGTTCTAATTGCTATTTTGGCAAAAATTAATTTAGAGGACTTCACTACTACGAAATATAAGGAATCCGAACATTTATGCTTGAAAGTGCATGTAGCAGGTGAAAGACATGTATTTGCTTCGGTATATTTTCCCCTTAACAATGCCGGTTAAGACACATGTGTAAAACAATTTCGCATCGCTGTCGAAATTATGTCCAGGCTTCCTCTTGAACTAAAAGTCCATATATACGGAGGCTTTAATCAGCGCAGTATTGACTTCTTTCCAGCCATTCACTCATTTTCATTGGGAGTATGAAACATTGCATTTTATTTTTGACAAACTGCAAGTTTAGGGCTTAATCCGATCAATCATCAAAACCTGGATTAATCCACCTATGGTGAAATCTAACCCCTCTGACTATTGAAAATTACACCAAAAGTGAAGATGAATGGATAGAATTACATCAAAAGGCACAAGAGCATGGATTGCAAAAAATGTGAGAGATGCTCCAGGTGCAGCCAACAACACAAAACGTCGGAGTGTACGTCAACTGTATTGAAATGTATTAATTGTATGAAAATGAATAAAGAACGTAAAATTAACTAGGACGTCAACCATGCCGCATTTAGCTCTGAATGTTTGCTATATAAAAGACTTTAAAATCAGAAGAAAAGCAGCTTGCCTTTCAATAAATAGCAGCCAAGTTCCAGGAATGTGAAACAATTCGATGTTTTGTATTTGAATATTGCGGGGTTGTCAACAAACTACGTAGCATTGTTGCTGCTTGTTTATCACATTCTAGACACACTGGCGGTGTTGCTATTTATGTCAAAGAATCAGTTCAATACGACCTTCGTATTAATCAAGTTATCGATGGTAACTGGTTCTTGAGCATTACAGTTGTGCGTGGCATGAAGATGGGAAATTATGGTGTTTTGTATCATTCTCCCAGTTCTAGTGATCAGCGTTTTGTTGAAGTTTTAGAGAAGTGGCTCGAGATATTCCTTGATTCTAGTAAATTAAAGATATTAGCTGGTGATTTTAATATTAATTGGTATGACAACCATAATTCGAATCATTTGAAGCGTTTATTTGATCTTTTTTTTTCAATTTAAAACACACGGTAGATGTAGAAATACGCGAGAGTTACGGAGACTGATTTGAAAATAACCGATCATGAGACCTTAGTGTTTAATGTCTTAGACTTCGAATCTTGTTGAATCTTGTTGATAGAAGCGTGGACTTTCCATTCGCGGCCAGTAATTTAGATGAATCTACAGCTGTTCTTAATAACGCTTTGAAAACGTGAACCAATCAACTAGTTGAGATAAAGTTTGTTTCTTTGAAAAACTCGAACAGCTGGTACAATTTGGATCTTTTGCGTCTTAAACGGAAAAGGGACAAATGGTACAAAAGATCTGTAGATCCAATAATGACAATCATTGGAATAGGTACACAATCGCGCGTAATAAGTATTCACAGACGATAAAAAAAACTCGTTGTGAATATGTCCAGAGGAAGATTCATCAGCATCAAAACAACAGCAAAAAGTTATGGAAATTTTTTGAAATCTTTATTTAAACCTAGTAATTGCAAACCGCGGTCCATAACTTTTAATGGCACTGTTTGTACAACGTCATATATTTGTTACCTTACGCACTGTATCGACACTACAGTTTTCAAAACCAATAAATAGTATCTCGCATGCCTCCGCCATGGCAGGATGGCCGAATAATCGGTGTGCTTTTATTTCTATTTCTTTCCGTATCAACACAACGTAGGGATCCCACCCGTGCGCGATCAGACACATTAGAACAGTCAGAACAAGTAATTGCATCTAACTTTAATGATTATTTTGTCGAAAGTGTTTCATTGATTAATCAATCCATTGAATTGGTCGATGAACTTGACGAAATAAAACAGCCAGTTAATAGTAGTTGTAGATTTTAAGTTTTTCACCCAATTACATTAGATGAACTTAGAGTTATTTGTTTTTCATTAGGAAAATCGGCTGAAGTAGATAATGCTAATACTCGAGTTATTCAAGATTGCTTTCATGTCATTGGCCACATCTTTCTGGACGTTATTAATAAATCATAGCAGAATGGACATGTCCCACAAATTTGGAAGGAATCCTTAGTGGTTCCAATTCAAAAAGTTGCTGGGACGATTAAAGCCGAAGAGTTTCGTCCTATCAACATGTTACACACATTAGAGAAAATTTTAGAACTTGTTGTTAACGACCAGCTGTTGGAGTATTTGAATAGCAATCTTTGTTGATACCAGAACAATCCGTATATCGGGAAGGTCATTCTTGTGATCTGCATTGAATGTGGTGTTAGCAAAGTGGAAGACAACTTGGAGCGTAAAGATACGACTGTTGCTGTTTTTTTGGATCTGAAATGCGCTTTTGAAACAATTTCTAGGCCCTTACTGTTGAGTACAATCAAGCGCTTTGGAATTACGAGTACTGCATATAAATGATTTGAAAGCTATTCATCTGACAGAACTCAACGGACTGTTTTTAATGGTTCTGTTTCCAGTCCCGTGGGGAATAACCTTGGAGTACCCCAGGGAAGTGTATTAGGGCCCCTTTTTATTTATTATGTACATTAATGACTTGCGACGTGTTTTACGGTTTTTGCGACATTAAACTTTTGCAGATGACACTGTGTTGTTCATTTCAGCTAAGGATTTAGAAGTTGCCGTCTCACACTTGAATGAAAATTTACAGTATCTAAGTAGATAGTTGAAGAATCGCAGTTAAAATTGAATACATGTAAAACTAAATTTATGGTAATTGGGTTCTTTAATTTTGAAAATGTATTGTTTTTTATACATCATCTGAAAGAGCTTCGTTTTCTGAGCACAGCGATATTTTTTTCGAACCCACACACTTTCCCATACAAAGTGACACAGAGGGGCGCTAATAAGGTGATTTTTGCAAATGTAATCGTGCTTATTTAAAATAGTTCCAGTGTACCAAAATTTATGAAATTTTGGGTTTGGGTTCCATTTTTAATGCAGATTACGATTATGCATTTACCTCAATACGCTTAAAGAACCCAATTTCGCGGAATCGATTACATGAGAACGTCTCTGTTGTAATCGATGATGAGATTATTGATCGCGTCCGGGAGATTAAATATCTTGGCGTGATTATTGATGACAAAATTAAGTTCAACGCTTACATTGACAATGTCATCAAGAAAATTGCAAAGAAGTATGGAATTCTATGTCGACTGAAAAACGATTTAACTATTGCCAGTAAAATACAGCGATACAAATAAATCATATCTCCTCATCTAGACTTTTGCTCATCCATTTTATTTCTGTCCAATGAAACACAAATATCGAGATTGCAGCGCTTGCAGAATAAAATAATTCGTTTGACTTTGCGATGTAATAGATTCACTTCCTCAACTTTGATGCTGGACGCTTTACATTGGTTGTCAGTGAAGCAAAGAATAGTATATTTGACGATGGTGTTCATTTTTAGAGTAGTTAACGGTTTTTTGCCTCGATATTTGTGTGATCGAATTGAAAGAGGAAGTGATTATCATGATGAAATGCGGATGAAATAAGAACACCACATTTCTTGACTTATGCTTCACAGAATTCATTATTTTTTTAGAGGAATAAATGTTTTCAATTCGATGCCTAGAGACATTATACGTGGAACAACATTAGCAGAATTTAAGAGACATTGCATTTCATACGTTAAACTGACTTTTGAGCGGTTTTTGTTGTTGTTCGGAGCAGCATAGTTCAGATCTCGTGACCGTAGAAGACCATCGGTCTAATCAGCGTCTTGTAAATAGTCAACTTCGTGCGACGGCGAATTTTATTCGACCGGAGCGTGCTCCGGAGTCCAAAGTAGGCACGATTCCCTGCCATAATGCGTCTTTGAATTTTTCTGCTGGAATCATTTTCGACGGTCACCAGTGAGCCCAAATACACGAACTCATCGACCACCTCGATTTCGTCACCATCAATCTGAACTCGGGGTGGGAGGTTAACATTGTCTTCCCTACCCAAGTAACATTGCAGGTTATATCGAGGTTTTATAGCATTCTACAGGTCTAAATCATGTCCTACAGAACCCTCATAAAACCAAAATTGTTGCTTGGGTAGAACCTCTGCTTATCATGTATTTTGTCTTCGATGCGTTGATGGC